AGAGAGAGAGAGAGACAGACAGACAGACAGACAGACAGACAGACAGACAGACAGACAGACAGACCAACAGACAGACAGACAGGCAGGCAGACAAGGTTCAAGGACGTAGTAAGGAATTCGAATAAAAAGACGTTGTGACAGAACGACTGTATCGACATATATTATAGTCAAGATGTAAAGAATGGTAGATAGATTGACAGAATGACCGACCGTCAGGATCAGAAACAAGGACAGGAATTTGAATAGGCAGACTGACGGACAGAAGGACAGATGTACAAAAGGACACATGTACAGACAGACGGACGGACAGACGGCCGGACACACGGGATGGACAGAAGTGCTCAATAACATGGTTGGGAATTCAATTAATGTACAGACACACATTCAAAAAGACAAAAATAAAGAGTGGCTCTCACACAGACAACAGGTTTCGAAGTTTATGGTGTCGTCCTGTAATTGTTTGTTTTGGTAAGTGTTCTACGGCGCTCGCCACTGCATAACGTCATATGACTGAGCGCGCGGGACACACCAAACATTTTCAGTTTGGTAGGAATATTTTGAATTTTGCATTGGTGACAGCTGAAGCCTACTCTTATCGATTTTTTTAACACCAAGGGATCTTTAACGTGCGCAACTTGAATAAAGTACCTCCTAGATTTTTCTCCCTTGTCCGAGAAGGCTAGATCAGGGGTGTGGCTAAAAGACAGCAGTAAGGAGGACTCCGCAAACGCAGAGCGAAGTCCTTGACATGTGTTGTGAAATCGAGATTATAAGAAGATGATGTGACTGGATGAGGCCGGAGACAGACATGAGCAACTTCATGAAGGTGATAGCTACGCTAGGTTGAGAGTGTCGGGAGTGGTCAGCAAATGCAACTAATACGGAATTTGTGACCATCCTTGAGGAAAATTCAGTGACAGATGATGTCGTCTTCACCTACGAATCAGTGAGGCGTGGACAGAAATCTGGGTGGGCGTTCAGTGCTCAATCTGACGAGAGGATAATTGAAGAACAGTCAGGAGCCTACGAGTGCACTACAACGAGCATGGCAATGGAGGGTGAGGCAATAACAGAGGCGCTGGAATGGATCAGTATGGAAGTGTATAAACATGCCCTGTTCGTCACAGATTCGAGGAGCACCCTAGAAAAATCAGTAGTGGGTGGCTCTACAGTGACTGGGGAGCTTCTATTGCAAATAGCCACCTACTAAAGATTACATTGTTATTCTGCCCTGGTCACGCCAGGGTTCACGGAAATGAATGTGCTGATGAACTTGCCGGCAAAGCAGCACCCGAAGGCCGAATCATGCTCGACCCACCAATGGTGATCGCCAGATGCAAAGAGAGCCTTCACGACCAAGAGGAGACAGACTCCCACACACTCAGCACAATTTTTAAAAAGTGTTTGCGGGGCACAGGGGAAAAAAGTTTGCTCCGAGGAGTGGTCAGGCGTGTCTCAAACCAGCTCCTCGTGAAGACAATTAGCAGGAAGACCCTAGGGTGGACGCTGGAAAAGAGAGATGAGCAGCAATGGACATGTGCCGCCTGCTATGATTCTAGCTCTGGATCCAAGTAATCCAAGTAAGTAAGGAGGAGCCAAGGAGTAGCAGAAGAAAGGCTGCAGAAAGAGTCAGGAGCCCAGAGGAGGAGGCCAAAGGGGGAGGGCAGAAAATGGAAAAGAAAGCAGCCGACAGAACAGGGTAAGAGATCAGGAAAGGAAGCGAAAGGAGAACATTTTAAAGAAGAAAATGTTCCGTCACTGTCAAGTTTCGAACCCAGAGCCTATTGAATGAGAAATGAACACCGCAATCTTTAGACCACGCGAGCTCCCGCCTTCCAGTAAGGTTTTCTTTGCTCGTAGTTGAGAAAAGAGAATCTCGTTGTCACAGTAAGTTATGATAACCTTAATTCAGTGTTGGAAAAGAGCAGAGCACAAAGACAGATAACATGAGGAGAGTAAAGAAGTAGTGGTATAACTAATACTTCAAACTAAACAACTGTCATTTTCACCAACATGACTATCGCTTTAGGTCCTTACAAAATTGTCACATGTTCATCTTGTGTTTCGGTTTTGTGTTTCTCTCTCTCTCTCTCTCTCTCTCTCTCTCTCTCTCTCTCTCTCTCTCTCTTCTCTCTCTCTCCCCCTCTCTCTCTCTCCCTCTCTCTCTCTTTCTCTCTCTCCCTCTCTCTCTCTCTCTCTCTCTCTCTCTCTCTCTCTCTCTATCTATCTATCTATCTATCTATCTATCTATGCAAAGTAACTAACGCAGTTACGTCAAAGCACGTAGACGTTTAACACTTCACACGCAGAACTTAGAATTATAATAAAATGTACATAGAATAGAGTTGTCGATACGTTCCTGTCCTCACTTCTTTTCTTACTCATCCGTCTCGGTGACGTCAGTTGTTTGGTAGTCGAGTGGTTAGGCTTCTAGACTCGTAATCGTGAGACGACGGATTCGGGGGTTCAAAGTTCAGCTCGATCCGACAATGTGTCCTTACGAAAAGCTCCTTTCTCACAAGCTTTCTCATTTGGCTCGGTCCTAATGGAGAGTTGGGGGAGCAGGAGGAGGTGGAGAAGGAAGAAGAAGAAGAAGAAGAAGAAGAAGAAGAAGAAGAAGAAGAAGAAGAAGAAGAAGAAGAAGAAGAAGAAGAAGAAGAAGAAGAAGAAGAAGAAGAAGAAGAAGAAGAAGAAAAAAAAAGAGAGAGAGAGAGAGAGAGAGAAAGAGAGGGAGAGTGAGTGAGTGAGAGAGAGAGAGAGAAAGAGAGAGAGAGAGAGAGAGAGAGAGAGAGAGAGAGAGAGAGAGAGAGAGAGAGAGAGAGAGAGATGAAAAGTAGATAGAGTCAGCTTTATTTTGCTCACAGAAAAAGAGCAGAAGAAAGCATTCATTTTTTTTTTTTTACCTTCGAGGGCCGCCAAGTAAACTATGGTAAGTCATGGTTTTCAAATTTTACAGGATTACAGGAGAAACCAAAAGGCGGATGTTTTTGAAGCCGTCACTGCATTTGTAGGCTCCCTCATGAAAATGAAGTTTATCCACCCAAAAAGCTTTAAAAAATACGTAGGCCTTACACAGTATGTACATCACAGACTGAAATTCTATCTTAATTTCAAACCATCATTTTGGACACAACCCTCTACTGCTCTAGATTCGAAAAGACAATCATTTTGTTTTGCGAAATCAATGATATTATTTCAGTGCGCAAGACGAATTATAGTGCGGTCAGAAATTCGTGGCACAACTTATCTTCAAATATCTCGTTAACGGAAGAATCAATGTCATCCATACTGTGCACAGCAGTTTGTATCAATTTGTCTTAACTAAATCTTATTTTTCCAGAACAATTGAGCCTAGATTAAAAAACGTTCCTTCATAAATTTATATTAAATATTTGAAATCTTTGTCACACGTGAAATGGGATTGTTCACAGCATTTCCCCTTTCTACAGGGGCGAAGGCTGACTTGTTTGACAGGGTAATCAAAGTGAAACGGGACCAGATATAGATCTATATGGCCTGTAGATATCACAGAAGAATCTTACTCGAGGCGGCGACTCTGAGTTGTGAATGAAAACAAATCCGGAATTCGTATTGTATGTTCAACCGCCAAAATAATCGGGAAAGTATCTTATTAAATATCAGTTCCAACTAAAATTAAATTAATTTTAGATGTGAATACATAAACACAAAGCAAAGAAGCAGAGATGTCAGTACTAGATCTATATGTTATAGATCTACCAATCAGTCTAACTCTTTGGTAGAACATGACAATTATCATTTTTTAAATTTCACATTTGGCTGTTTTTGTTTGCCTTTCGTGGCCACTAGCTGGTGTCATAATCGAGGTCACGATCTGATTATAGGACAGTAAAAAGTAGAGGGAAAAAAACAAGCACATGCAGCAGTAAAGAGATTGTTAGGAGTTAGTTCCCCTCACATTTGTGAGGTAGACTCGACCAGTGTTCGTTAGCTTACTTAATCAGGGCCTGGGATTGATTATAACTGTGGCCCCAAAGGGGTGAACAGGGTATATGTGGCAATGAAACAGTCATGACTGCTATGCACATGTTCCCTAGACTGTATTGGCAGACTCTTCCCAGCCTCACTTTAAGCTTACTTAATCAAAGCTTGCGACTCCTTATGGAGTGGCCCGAGAGGGGTGAGGAGGCTATTTATGTGGCCGTGAAACCGTTTTGAATGTTAGGCATACTCATTGTGGATTACGAACCTCTTTTTACTTTTAATTTAAGAGGTTTACGTTTAAGGATGAATTTGACAGCGACAATGTTTCAAAATTAGGAAGGGAAGCAGGGATTATTTGATTATATAGACGCTTCGCCCCTGCCTTTCTAACACACATTTTGATTACGCATATGGCCTACGTCACATCTCATCAATGACAATTTTTAGCGGCAAATCTTGTTACAAGAAGTTATGCTTATAGTGAACCCATTTTTTGCACTAATGGTTCTCAAAACATGCGTTCAATAAGAAGAACTCCTTGGTTAGAAAAACATGATGGACTTGCTATTAAAAGCAATATTGGCCTAACTGTAAACATTTAAAAATCTGTAGAAACCACCCACTTGGATTCTTTATTAGTGTTTATTAAGAATTTTTCTAGAATACAGCTAGCAGGTGTTTACAAAAATATTGATCCGTTAGGCTAGGACAAATTGACAGAAGTAATTGTGCAAAAATTTGAGAACCTATGTTCCATAGGCCTAGTAGACAAAAAGTGGCGCCATGAATTTATTGACAACACTACAAAAACTGAGGTTGCGATTTAGTGCAGACGACTCTCTAAACAAAATTGCAGTATATCTAGATCTAGGGCCTAGGGCATAGGGCCTAGCCGTGACGTTTCATGACGTACCAAATTACGTCCTTAGCAACCCTCTCTGGATATCTAGGCTGCACACCTCCCACGTTTGCCATTTGCGTCGTATCCGCCAGAACCCAGCGGAAGCTCGACCGTCATCTCCCAGCCCTGACTGCACTTTTCCATCAGGGAGAGCACATCTCTACAACATCAAAATCGTCGTAAACAATAACCCAGAAGCATAATCAGAAACCTAGGAGACAACCATGCGTGAATGCCTGTCCATCCACATTGGCCAATGCGGGACCCAAGTGGGGAACGCGTGCTGGGAGCTCTACTGCCTGGAACATGGCATCCAGCCGGACGGACAAATGCCTTCGGACAAGACGATCGGCGGGGGCGACGACTCGTTCAACACCTTCTTCAGCGAGACTGGCGCCGGCAAGCACGTGCCTCGAGCGGTCTTTGTGGATCTGGAGCCCACAGTGGTGGACGAAGTCAGGACAGGGACATACCGACAACTCTTTCACCCCGAGCAGCTCATCTCAGGTAACTCTCTCATGTACGCACGCACGCACGCACGCAATCAGGCAAGCGCACACGTACACACACCACACATACACACACGTACACGCATACACGTACACACACATTCGTACATAAACACTTCTACATACTTCACGCACAAAAATGTATAGATCTACATCTAGATCTACACAGAGCTACCCAACGAACAAATTTACCCCCAGAACCTTCTCAACTATCTAAGCATATAGATGTAGATATAGATCTAGATTCTAGACCTACTTACGGCTCATTTTTAAACGTGTCCTAATAATCGTAATTTATGCAAAGCAACTTACGCAGTTACGTCGGAAAGCAGGAAGACGTCTAAGAAATTCACACGCAGAACTTTAGAATTAATATCTAGAATCTAGATATCTAGATCAAAAATCTAGATTGGAAGTCTTTCTCCCCTAGATTCTAGATCTTTAATAACCACCTCTGAACATTTCTCACGTCCTTCTGCTTAAGTTTTGCCCTCAGCTTTTAATAAGAGCTGGATCCATATCGTCTGTTCATAGGCCTTTTTGTGGATGTCAGCATACAAGACCTCTTTACATAGATGGACAGCCATATATTATTTTCTATTACAGTGCAATGTCCTTCGCTACGTTAAAAAATATTTTAGTTCCTAAGAAAAGTAAAATTGTAGAGTTGTTGATCAAAGAAATTGATATAAATGACTAGTCTAGATGTAGATCTTGATCTAGATCTAGATCTAGATATCTATATAAAAAATAGATCTAGATTTAGATCTAAAAATCTAGATCTAGATCTAGATCTAGATCTAGATCTAATCATTAGATTGAATTGTATTATTTACTCACAATTTTTTAATAGTTTGTACGGTTTTCTAATCAAAGTTGATTACAGCATTAGCCAGGAAACAAACTTTAACCTTGAAGCATTCCAAAGAAACTCTTTGAAAATGTAAAATACAGATTGCTTCAGTCCTGTTTGTTGGGACTAACATAGAAGAAGACGAAGAAGAAGGAGAAGAAGAAGGAGAAGGAGAAGGGGAAGGAGAAGGAGAAGGAGAAGGAGAAGAAGAAGGAGAAGAAGAAGGAGGAGAAGGAGGAGGAGAAGGAGGAGAAGGAGGAGAAGGGGGAGAAGAAGAAGAAGAAAAGAGCAATAACAACAATAATAATACTGATATTAAAATGTTGTTCGTCCATGTCTAAAGTTGACCAATGCATCCGCAGAGGAGAGTATTTCTCTAAAGGAAGTTGAACCAAAGGTTAAGATGACTTATTATACCTTCTGCTATGGCTAATGAGACTTATCCTGGCAAAACAGATTCTGTCACATTTTAAGCATACAAAAGCTCCACTTCCACTTGTGGACACAGGATGTGCGCAGTGTCCGGGCCTTTACTTAAAGGGATACATCATCACAACAGAGATGGAGATACTCGATGAAATAAAAACTCCCTTTTGGCGAACGACGGCAAAGAGACTAAGTATTACACAACAGTTTGATCGCCATGACGCGTAAGAGACCAAACTGTCGAAAGCACCTTCAAACAAATACGTGTCTTTCCACAGGCAAAGAGGACGCAGCCAACAACTACGCCCGAGGTCACTACACTGTGGGCAAAGAAATTGTTGACCTGGTCCTAGATCGGGTCCGGAAACTGGCTGACCTCTGTACTGGCCTGCAAGGATTCTTGGTCTTCCATAGCTTCGGAGGCGGCACAGGCTCAGGGTTCACATCCCTGCTCATGGAAAGACTCTCTGTGGATTATGGGAAAAAATCCAAAATAGAGTTCGCGGTGTACCCGTCCCCCCAGATCTGCACGGCCATTGTAGAGCCATATAACTCTGTCCTGGTGACGCACACAACGCTAGAGCACTCAGACTGCGCATTTATCGTGGACAATGAGGCCATCTATGACGTATGCCGCCGTAACCTTGACATTGAGCGGCCCACGTACACCAACTTGAACCGGCTGTTGGCTCAAATCGTCTCTTCCATCACCGCCTCTCTGCGCTTTGACGGCGCCATTAACGTGGATCTGCAAGAGTTCCAGACCAACCTGGTCCCTTACCCACGGATCCACTTCCCCTTGGTGATCATGGCGCCCATTATCTCGGCAGAGAAAGCCTATCACGAGCAACTGACCACTGCAGAGATAACCAGCTCGTGCTTCGAGCCTGCCAACCAGCTGGTCAAGTGTGACCCCCGTCACGGCAAGTACATGGCCTGCTGCATGTTGTACCGCGGTGACGTAGTACCCAAAGACGTCAATGCCGCTATCGCCACGCTCAAGACAAAGAGAACCATTCAGTTTGTGGACTGGTGTCCAACTGGCTTCAAGGTGGGCATCAACTACCAGCCCTCCACCGTGGTGCCAGGAGGTGACCTCGCCAAGGTTCAGAGGTCAGTCTGCATGATGGCCAACACCACAGCCATAGCAGAAGCCTGGGCCAGACTGGACCACAAGTTTGACCTGCTGTACGCCAAGAGAGCCTTTGTCCACTGGTGAGTTCTGCCAAAGTTTTGCTTTTTAACATTGTTAGATATTTCATGGAAAAGTATTTGTCCACCAGGGAATGGGAGCTTCTGTAAGACTGTAAGACCGGACATCATAGTGAAAGCAGACTATCATACCCCCCTCCCTCCTCCTCCTCCGCTTTTGATATTTTTAAAATTTTGCTTTCTATACGAAAGTGTTACTGCTCATTGTCGCAGTTTATAGTGAATATTATCGGATACTGTCTTTTATTAAGTCTTTCTGGAAAGCATATCTATAATTTTGTAAAATGCGCATCTGGAGTGCGCAGGTGTACAATCCATTATAAAATCCGAACAAATTTTAGTGTTTTGTGGTCAATTTTTCTGTCGTTTAAAATATGTTAAATGTATGATGTAATCGAATCCAGGAACATCCTTGAGTTTAAAAAAAGGTAGTTTGACTAGGAAAGTATGCTGTAATTACATTGAAATTGTATAAAAAGCGTAGATATGTAACATGTTTTATCACATTTACTACCAACTTCGTTACGTTTGTAATGTTTTACCATTTGTATTAAGCATTTCATAACTGCATTGTCTTTTTACTTGACACAGTTGTGTCGAAACAAAGAGCGATCCCTTCTGTATGTTTCATGTGTTTCAAATACTTGATACACATGAGTGACTTGTGCATTTTGAAATTTCTTAAATTTTAAAGTCAAGGTACGTGGGAGAAAGGATGGAGGAGGGACCGTTCAACAATTGTTTTGTATGCCTGAACTGTGATGGTGTGATCTGAATTTCTTTCTTGCATTCCCTAGGTATGTTGGAGAAGGAATGGAGGAGGGCGAGTTTTCGGAAGCCCGCGAAGATCTAGCTGCTCTGGAGAAAGACTACGAGGAAGTTGGTCTGGACTCAGTGGAGGGAGAAGGAGAAGGAGGCGATGAGGAGTACTAAATGTGCTCTCCCCCACACCAGCTGGTGATGCGTCTACTTCGTGATGTACACACACCATTGCTCTGGCTTGAACTCCTGGATGATATACCATAGAATTCGTTTTGGGGCAGACGTGTCCATGGGCAAAAATTTGTAGGAAAAGGGGATATGGTGGTATGTAGGTTTACCTGTATCTAAATGTGTAGTGTAGATAGAAAGTCTTCTCGGATTGACGATGAAGGTGGCACAGCGAAACTCTGAGGTCACTTCCAGTGGGCTGGGGTACTTTGTACACCCTGGTGTCTGCTCGTCACATTTGAGCCTATGTCCGGTGGGTCGCCTTAGGCGCTCACAAGTCTCCAGGTGTGCCTCTGTGTTGCCCGGAGTACTGCGCGACGTACGTGGGCTTATGGCGGATGGCCAGAGGCTGTGGTCTTTAGGCCGCTTCACCGGAACCGGAAGTGCATCCTTGTTAGCATGCACGCTACGTGATACGAAGCCTTTAGTTTCTTCTGGAAACCTGTACAGTGTGTGTCATTCCTCAACCATTAGGGTTGAATTAGCTTATCTATGTTTATATATTTATATATCCCACTATTCGTATCATATTATTATTATATCTGATTATTCTCGTATTTATTATCGTTCTATATATTTCAAACCGTTTTTATATTCGTTTGACACCGCTGTGCAGAGCTGACCAGTTAGAGACTGGACCCAGACTCTCTCTGTCCGTCCTTGCACGCGTTCTCGCGGACATGTGACCTAGTGTGACCTATGACTCCAGCCTAAAGGTCAGTGAACTTTTGAATTGCGCAGTGTGGCCTCTGTCGTAGTCTTTGACCTTTCAGGGCACGTCTGCGGTCAGTGTAAGGGACTAGAATGAAAACTTGGGGTGGGGGTAGCCAGATTCTGAATTAAGGTGACCAATCCTGGTCCGATGGGTGTCACTCTCGAGTGACCTTGAGTCTAAGCATTGGTCTTGTGCACGAAGCAACAAGTCATCTCCTGGTTTCTTCGTGCCGTTAAAAGTATGTCCACGGGTGTGTCTGGTCAGTGAGACACGTGCATCTGCATCACGATACAGTGTGAAGGCGCCCAGACAGTTCCCGGTTTCAACAAAAGGCAACACGAACATGTCTCAGTACACATACAACATAAAAACAAACAGATCAACATACTCTGTAAGAATGAATCGAATCTAAATAGTCTGTGGGAATCCCCGTTCTGGGAACTCATCACATCATAAACCTGTGGAATAAATCTCAGGACAAACATTCGCTTCTTGTCGTTGCTTTTTTCAGTATTCTTTTGCCTTGTTCTCCTTGTTTCTCAACACTTTGCCAGTTTGAACTTTTGTTAAGTGATCTTTAGCAACTATAGACTTTTATTGTAATATTCAAGACTGGGCACTGCTGACGTTATTCCAGATCTCTATGGAGCGCACTACTTTACTCCTTCTTTTCTGTCAAACATATATCGTCTTTTATCTCCCTCTCCTTTTTTGGGTTTGTTACTCCTTTGTAACATATAATCTTCGTCATTTATGTGACCTTATTGTATTGCAAGTGCCGTAAACTCTTACCTAAAGAACAACTATTTAAATCATTTAAGAGGCGTGACCTCTGAGATCTCCGAAAGGACCGAGCCAAATAGGAAATTTGTGTTGTCTTTCCCAAGGTGAGGCTCGAACGCACGAACCCGCAAGCTCACTAGCGTGATGAATAGAGTCTACTTTTTTATTTCTTGTGTTCAGATCTTGGGAGTGATGATTTTTTGTCATTTGATTCCTGATCCTAAACCTAAATCATTGTATTTCCAGACTTCATTCTAAGGACCTACCGACCTACTAACCTATCTATCTATCTATCTATCTATCTATCTATCTATCTATCTATCTATCTATCTATCTATCTATCTATCTATCTATCTTCACCCAGGTGGGAATGGGTCCCCAGCTATAGACAGCGAAAGACCTTGTCAGTTTGTTAGTGTTTGAGCGCTTAATCAGCTGCTTTTTTACTCTGTATGCTTCCCGGGAAGCCGAGAATGTTTCGGAGTGTTCTATGGTCTGCTGGGGTAATAATATAGTGTAAAGCGCATAGAGCCTGCTGTTGAGCGGGGATATGCGCTATACAAATGCTATTTATTATTATTATTATTATTATACATCTATCTATCCAGCTGTCGAGCTATCGAGCTATCTATATGAGCCCGCTTACCTTTACTACGCTAGTATTGCAGTAAGGCTGCGAGTATAGTGCACCCATGTCGTACACGGCCGCACACTGAATGGTAAATAACTGCACGGTCCCAGCCAATCCTTATCTGGGGTTACTAGAGACGGCTGAAACTGAAACCGAGTACACTGCACCCGATCCAACCCGACCCGTGTTTCCAACGTTTGCGCAAACCGCACGTTTCACGGCAGCACGGGTGAAGGGGCAGAACTCTTTCCAGACATTTTGCTGGAGATACTTCCCGACTTCCCAACATGGATGACGAAGAGCTAATTGCACCAGAGAGATGTTGAGATTTTATTTACACAAAGAGTGACAAGAACCACTCTATTGCACGAGAAGTTGGAAAAGGGTGAAGGGGAAAGTAGGGGGGGGGGGAAGGAGGGGGTGTCTCGCTGGCCGGATGACAGTATTGACAGGAGGGGGGGGATGAGAGAGGGGGGGGATGAGAGAGGGGTGGGGAGTGGGGGGGGGTCAGGGCGGACGTTTTGACTTTTTGACACGTGACTCTGGCTGCTGAATTGTCGTTGATAACGGCCCTGGCGGTCACCAGAAAGCTCGTTGTTTCAAATTGTCTGACGGGTTATTTGCCATTTACTTTTTTTTAGTCCCTTCATTTCTCCAAAGATGCGATCTTGACTTGCCTCTCTATACATTATCCCAACTGGTCGTTCTGGTGTTTACCCGACAATACGCTGGCACATTCGTAAAGCCTCTACCCATAAAGTAAGATGTCTATTCTTATTATAATCTTGTAATTGTAATTATAACATTTTCTCTACCACTACCTCAGTACCAGTTTCTGCTTCCTGGTAAGCACCATGTCATGTGTTGCAGCAGATTTCTGCACAGGTTCACTATAGCTATAGGCATAGGGTGAGACATTGTGGCTTTATGATGAAGAATCTCCTCGATAAAAAAAAACTGAACGATAGACTGGCACAGTTCGATAAAATGGAGAGTTCTCTCATACGACGAATCTGAGTAAAAATTCTCGGGAGTCCCTTAGTGGTCCAAAATCGATCAGAGTAGGCTTCGGCCGCCACCCAGGCACAATTCAAAATTAATTCCAACCAAACTAAAATGCTTAATGATATTAGATATGGCCCGCCCTTTCATGCTGACCTCATGCAGTTGCAAACGCCGCAAAACTTACATTACAACAACAGAAATTACTGAAGGAAACACCAATAACTAGATAGGTAGCCAGTGGACATAGAGACGCTCAGTAAATAATCAGGAAGGTACGACTACGTAGAAGGGTAGGCAGTGGAGATAGACAGTGGCGGTAGGTAGTGAAGGGCTTACGGGCTTGAGCCCCTCACCCCCACCCCGCCCCCACCCCTACTCTATCCCTTAGTTAATGGAAGTTTCTTAAATAACAAAATAAGCAGTTGAAGTTGAAACCGTCATGCTCGCACACAATGAACACACAGTTATCAGCTTGGCGGCTTGCCCGTTTATCCAATCACCGTTGTCACCGCTTACAACTATAGTAACCTAACAGCCAATCAAATGTCGTTAGGGCTCACAAAGAATAAGCCGGTTCCCACGCCCGTCTTTAATGAAACTCTTCTTGTAAAAAGGTAGAAGACTTTTTAAAAAATAACACTGCACAGAGGATTCACGCTCTCCCAGCCCTGCCAATGGGGTGAAAGTTTACGACACACTTTCCCCCAGTGAAACAGATACCTATGCGGTATGCGCCCATTGGGCCTTTGTTAGGCGCATTCTATTTTCTGCAACAACACGACCCAATCCACCTCATAGACAGTATGTGTTCGGAGTGCTGTGTGTTTGTGCCGCTGAGATTTAAGTTATTAATTACATCAAACCACTTTTGAGGCAACTTTTCCTTCAGATAAAAACTAATTAGAGAAATATGGAGGTGAAACGGCTTCGTCCCCACCATCCAGAAGAGTTTTAATTTAATTAAGAACAAAGAGATGGAAGACAAAGGTGACTCTTCTCGTTTGAATAGTTCTCAAAATGCCGTGGCTCGCCGTGAGTATAGAAAAATCATCACTGTTTTGTTCTTATTGCTTGCTTTTTGGTGGTAAAGAAGTGGAAGAAACCTAAGCCCCACCCAAATATTGGTCCACGCACCGCCACTGGAGATAGAAACGCTCAGTAAACAAACAGGTAAAAAGATCCACGGCTATAATAATAGATAGGTAACCAGTGGACATGGTCTCAGTAAACAAGCAGGTAACTTGATAGGTAGACAGTGGGCATGCTCTCAGAAAACAAACAGGTAGTCAAGTAGGTAAATAAGTAGACAGCGTGAACATAGAGAGATAGTCAGTTGTCGGAGATCAGGATGATGATTGATATTGTCTTACTTATAAACTGCGGTGTCGGTGAGCAGCAGAGGGTCTATGTGCAGACGAGAGAGTTGGTCCACGGAGACACGTCCCGCTGTCTGACGGCTAATCTCAGTGGGGTCAACCTCTCTCTCCCCGCGCGTCCAACGGATCAGCCCAGGCTCCAGATCCTCTCTGAAGATGAAACGTTCGCAGATGAACAAGGGAGTCTTTTTTCGTTTTTAATTCTATTTTTTGTCTCGTGTCCCTATTTGGGTGCCGAAATGTGCCAACATGGTACAAATTGTTTTGCTTCAAGAAAACCAATACAAGAAAAAGGGGATGATGATGATGATGATGATGATGATGATGATGATGATGATGATGATGATGATGGTGATGAACAGGTGCGGTTCGTCCATTGAACACGGTCGTGCAGTGCCGCCCAAATGTTTTTAGATATTCTATTATGTAAAGCACCCACAAACATAAAATAAAAGAAGCAAGAAACAAGCACTAGCCAAATATAATATCAAAACAAAGTCCTCGTTGGCGCCGTAACTGTCATTTCTATGTCTATATCGCCGTAAAACATCTCCTATACCATGCCAAAGTCCACGCGCTATTTTAACTAAACACAATAGGATAGTCAACACTGGTAACCTGACCTATAAATCAATCTTTGGGATAACCCAAGCGATGACGACACTTGCAGCGAGTTTGGCAGTACATTATTATTAATATTAATAAGCCGGCACATCTAAAATGTGCTCCTGCCGAATAGTGCCGATACATAGCCCACAATAGGCATTCTAAAAATAAACGCGATAGACTCTACGCTATTCAATGCCAAAAGTATGTGAGCCTCTGAGCAATCCAGCGGAGTGCTCAAGTGAATTGTGATTGGTTCATCGTCTTGTCGCTATTTTAAGTGACTCTGTGACCGTGAATCTTGGGGAGTTGAACGTGACATACTTATGTCACCGTCCTAATATGGGTTGTGCCTTTTAATGGTTTTGTAGTGGAGTGGTGAATGTTATTACTAGAGTGTTCAGTTCTCATGCAGGATGAACAAATTCGATGTTTCGCTAACTCACAGATTTTAAGTTCTTGACATCAAAGCGGCAAGTAAAAAGAATGAAAATAAAAGCACGAGGACCTCCCTCACCAACCCAAAGATCCTAAAATTATGCACCATCTCATTTATTACTATGCCCTTGACAATCTTCAGCTTGCGATAGCTTAATTGTGCACGTCCATTTTTTAGACCCACGAGCCGCCCCTGGTGATGCACACACACACTCTCTCTCTCTCTCTCTCTCTCTCTCTCTCTCT